ATTTTAAATATGTAACCATGTTTAATTGCTTGAAAAGGTTTTCTACATTCGGCATGTTGTGTCGAAACTTTACAATATTATACCGGATGTATCAATATCAAAAGCGTGAAGAAGAAAATGTTTCCTATACACAACATGAACTAGGTATATTACCCACATTTTCGATCCTTGAAGATCGTTCAGCACGACATAATTGTTATGTAAACATGTTATGTGGTATTTTTAGTTTCTTCTATTTGGCCTTTTTCAACTTGGGTGGCTCCAGTATTGCTACATAAATACGGTCTAATCACCCTTAGGATATGTTGCCTGCTTTTTAATTTGTCTTTTGACTTCTTATCTGTGATATGCAGACTTCATAATCTCAGATCCCCTTTCAAAATTCAATTTTTTTTAGTGTCGCCAATTGTTTTCTCGTTTAGGGCTCACGCATCTTTTTTAATTGGGGACCATACGCCGCTTTTCATGGAATGTCACTACTGTGTCGCATTGAAGGTCACATGATAACCGCCGTATGAACACATTTGCGGATGTTTCTAAATTCAAAATTTCACCATTTTCGTGTTTAAATGTTGAATTCTGCTTAAGCCGGTGATAGGGTCTTGGACGGTTGTTTGTGTATCTTACAGATTATTCTGTTGACATTTTCTTAAATAAAATCAAAATGCATATTGTCCATGTGAAATTTCGCTTTTTTTCAAATGTTGAAATAATGAATATATTATTCTCCAAAAGTTCAAATACATTGTTTTCATTTTCCTTTCAATACATACACATGCATCATTCATTGTATTTGCTATAGAATTTGCGTCATGTTAATAAAAACATGTTATTTTATGTGTTCATGTATACAGACACATCATGATAACGTTACCAAATAAAACATTTTGAAAATCTGTACCATGGAAGGTTAGCAAATTCTGGGAAGCTCATATATAAATTAATAAATTGTGTTATGTATGAGTTTCTAGGTAATTTGATGATGGATGCACAGTGTACAGTTTCAGCCATACAATCGTGATTTGTTAAATTGTCAAAACAAGTTACTTGCTATAGAGTTTTTGAATGAGTGCGTAAACAACCGCCACCCGCCCGTAAAAAATATCGGATAGTACAATACTAATCTTGGTTACAATTAATTGAAATGTTAAAAATTAATCGTTGTATATGGTGGACATCGAAGCGTAGATGGGTTTCAAAAGCATGAAGTCCATTAAAAAGTACCATAAATTAACATTTTAAATGAACAAAAAAGCGTTTCCTAGTTTCTATAGCACAAAGGCCATTAAAAGGTTTTAAGTGTTATTCATTATTGATGATGAATGGATGTCGATTAGAGGCGGATAGTTGATGCTCTAACCACCCGAGGATGTTTTAATTATAGCGACTAGTAAAGTAAAACATTTATCACCACGAAAGATGACCGAACTACAAATCGAGTGCAGAAGCAACTAGAGAAATGAAAAATGTCACCATCTAGAAGTAAAAGTATACTCCCATAAAAATCTAAAAAATAATGTTCGACTAGTATGTAAGAAAGGTTTCCCCAGTACATACCCTTCTGGATGTCCTGCTAGAGTGGCTGGGTTGTGTCGTGGACTAAATTCTGTGACCGTCACATTGTTGATCTTTGTTCTCAATTTTTCCGTCTGAATCTTAGGCAAATAAAATGCTGAATGCGGATGATGTCATATACATTAATCAATGAGGCTCTTAATCAAGTATGTCAATTTTTATTATAAATCGATGAGAAACAGTTCAAATAATCAAATTTAATAGATTTATCCTAAAAAATGATTGGACGACAGATAAAACAGCGCTATATATTCTTTAAACTTGAACAAAGATTCGCTATTTCTTTATGTTTAGTTATTTAAATCTTTCTATTAAAAACATTCTAACTATTCGTAACAGCAATTTGAAATTTGTCATGAAATATCACAATATAGGGAACAAATCCTGGATCAATTACAAAACAATTCAAGCAGATTAAAACTTTTGTTGTGACTGAAGAGGGTTGTCATAAATAAAAACCTTTATACTAGAAATTGATATTTCAGATTTCAGTGTTTGGTTACGTTATTCTACGGAAAGAAATATAATGAGTCTATACCACATTTACTTCCCAAATCCTTTTTAAAACGAATCAAACCTCAAATGTGATCCAAACATTATCAAACTTTAATTAAAGATCCTGAAACACATGGTTTTATATCATAAATATCATGCTCATATTAAGATGTTTCAATATTGTAAGGTCCAAAAAGCATTATTTATAAAGATATTAACGAATTTAACATGTCATGTAAATAAAGGGAGGTCATTATCATTTTCTATAAAGTCTAAGCCAACTTTTTTCAAGAGGAAATGAATGCACATATTTGCAGTACATATTTTACATATTCTTCGATGTTTGAAAATTGTTTTATATACACAATTATATACATATATAAATTTCTCATAAGTGTGATTACAACCTCAATTACAACATACAGGATCTTAAACACATAGTATTTAATTTAGAATAATAATGCTTAAGAGTATACATGTATATCGATGCATTACAGAGTTCCTTCATAAAATACAACTGTCCTTAAACATGCTTACTCAAACTGAGTCTGCAACTTGTCATGAAATAGAACTAACGTGTCTCATTGAAAGTTGGTTGCCGTATTAACATATCTGTTGTTTCAAAATTCATAATTTTACCACCGATTATTTAATTCTGCTTAAACGGTGCTAGGGGATGTTAAGGGAGGTTAATAGCTTGCACTTTCTAGTACTGTCAATGAGCCGTCTCAATCAAGCCGAGCCGATAACTGTTTGCAGTTTTGAACGCTCTTCAGGTATATAATTTCTCTATTTCAACATAAAACTATGCAATTTCTTACTTTCTATATAAGTTTTATTACAACATCTCCTATATAGCATATTATTACTTTAGGCTTAAACATATGAATACTATTTTATAAAATTAAAAAAAAACAAATACATTTTCTGAATGTTATTACCAGTGATATGGTTTCTCACTTACGGCTAATCATTGCAGTGATGACCATTTCAAACCGCTTCATTATATTAAGGCAGAATATAGATGATTGCTTGTCATTTGGAGAATAGGTTAAAAAAATTGAGAAAGAAACGCATTTAAAAAAGCAAGACTTTGCCACTATATTCATTAAAAAACCATTTATTTGCACTATCAAGTACGAAAAAGATTTGATTGGGCCTGTTCATGAACGGTGCTGGAAATTGCAAGCTATCGTCTACACCGCTACCATGAAAGATAAATTTTCAATTTAAAAAAGTAAAATAAAAAACGGTAAAAAAATTGGCCAAAATATGAAAAACAGATAATGTCATTGGTGTAGGCTCAATCCAGCCGAGCCTGTAATATTTTCAATTTTGTTGTTTTGGATGTTATTTAGGGATTCTGTTTTCCCTATTTTACTATTATGCTCTTAGCGTCTCGTTCGACTATACGTGTCTTCCTAATGTAACTTATGCACCACGTTTGCAGAATAAGTCTTTAAACCAATGGCTTCTTTTATATGGCAGCCTTTATTCAGTGGTTGACGTTTTTGGAATGACATTAAGGTGCGTCTAGGGGGGATTTGATTTTTTGGTCAAAAATCGAGTTATACATGTGTTATCATGCTTCACCTGCATAGAACTATATTTGACAAATTCAAGTTATGAAATTGCTATTTAAACCTTAAACTTTTAGACGAGTAAATTACTACGTCAACAGTCCATGTTAGACACTTAATATATCAGAATTGCAGATAAACATAGAAGATAATCAGTTTTCAAGTGGTGGATGTAACGTTGATACAGCAGCGTTCTACGCCTTATATTTTACACACTCAAAAATATCATTTAGTAATGTTTTTTGGACGTAAAATGTCTTTAATTCAGCGGCTTTTTTGTATAACATTTTTTTTCTTTTCAGGAAGAATAAAAAGAACACTGATTTCTATGTACTATAAATATATAAACATTCAACGGGCGTTCCATCCTCTGTGAAATCATTCATTTGACTAATAAAACGAAATATTCATCATGTAAATTATATTATGTTTCCGATATCTCAATTGTCACTGATGTCTTGCTTGCGATAATTTGGAGTTCATTCAACCCCGGTGCACTACTATCGAAGAAAGTAGGCGATAGGTATCGATAAAGTTATTAAAAAGTAGATTAACGGCTAAATAATGAATGATGATATAGTTTTCAGCTTAAAATATGGTTACTAATTTTCTGTAATGTTGCATTGTATCTTATATTCTGGTCAAACTTTTCATACTCGATCAAAGAACAGTTTTAGTTTTATGTTTATTTGCGTTCATTGATCTATTAACCAAAAGTAACTCCGTAGGCAAATAAGTCTTGAGGTCACTCTTTTAGATGTTGTCTTTTATCCATATCATTGAGCTGAACAGACAGTTTACTGAGATTGTAAAACAGCATAAATCCACTTTGTATTGAGGTTCAGATAAACATTTTAGATAATGAGTTTAGCTCAGTCCGTGAGTAATATATAGATTTGCTCAAATCTCTCTCGTCATAATATTTTACAAGCACACGTGATTTGAAAATGATCAAATGGAAATCTTAGGGACATAACTAAACAAAAGAAAACTTTTTTAGAAAGGGCAAACAGGAATTTTATACGTTGAAATAATGATTCTAGAGCATGTTGGATGCTATCACATAAAGAATGTTGCGCCGAATGTGAATTTGTTTGCAATCCATTTTGCCACCTGCCTTATTCACACTAGCTTATCATCTGTGATATTGTCCTGCTCCAAGTTAAGCGTTCTTTAGGTATTGCAATATTCCACAAGTATGCAGTGTTCCCAAAATCAACCCTTTTTTTTCATTCAACACTAATTCAGTAAATACATAAATAATGTTATAAATAAATGGAAAAATGAGAGGATAAAGTAAATTATTCTTGTGCTTAAATCCAATGATTTTATTACATGAAGATATATAAAACAAAGATCAACGGACACCCAAAACGAGCCTGTTCATGTATAGACGTGATAATTGCAAGCTACTAGTACCATTCACGGCCCATAACACCGGCTTAAGCATAATTCAACATTTAAACTTGAAATAGTTGGAATTTTGAATTTAGTAGCATCCGCAGATGTGGTCAAACGTTTGTTACCATAGAAACTGGCACATTCGTTAGGTCCCAAAGTAAAAAAAAAAAACGTATGTGCCCTAAACGAGTAAACAATTGTCGGAACTAAATATACGAAATTTTTAAAGTGGATCAGAGGTTTTGAAACCTGTATGTTGCAGATAAAATTGCGAGACATAGACACTAAAAAGAAATCCACAGATGCTATACGACAACATTTAAAAGCAGGCAACACATTCTAAGGGTGTTCATGCCGTATACAAGTAGGAAACATTGAACCACTATAAATATAGTTGTATATTATCTGAAAAGAAGCCAATAGAAACAAAAATCTTTCACGTTAAATAGAAAAAAGAAAAACTGAATGGATGATTGGCTTTAAATGCCCTCTCACACTCTATTAACGTACGAAAAAACGGTGAGTTAACCCTCTTATATCAGTAGGTATGCGCATATTATAGAAAGCAAAACACTAAACTGATAATTATTTATTTATTTAAATATGGGTCATTTACATAAAGATACAATTCTTAATTATTCGGGGGAAATACTTCTTTGAATAATAGACTTAGGGTGGATAGAAGCTTTATTTTTATTTTTAAACATAACAAAAATAATCTTCGACAATGACGCTATAATATATATAGGCTGGGTTCACACTCTCACACAATAATCATTGCAATCATCTTACTATACGAACACACTAAAATTAAAAAAATAATAATAAAAAATGACTAATACATGTATACCTCAAATATTAAGCGAAATAAAATCACACCATTTTAGCAATTTTAATTTCTCACGCACTTCTTGTTTCATAACTCAAGTCGAACTACTTTATAAAATCATTCTTATTTTACATAATCAGCACGATCATTTCTTTCTGTATAAATTTACTGTTACAATATGGATAGGTAGAGCTCTCTACATATTTAGAATTGAACAAGCAAAATTAGTGATTCGAATATTTCAGAAAGGCAAACATGAAAAATAAATTGATGATTATTATTTCTTAAAGGAATGTTATACCTCAGGAATCCATATTTCTTTTTATTCTCAAGAAATGTCAAGTTAGATGATCTTCTGCTGAAAAGGTTGCACAGGGCATGTAGTTATGTGTCGTAAAGGTAGCAAAATGTAAAGAGTAGCATTTGGACTTCAATACAAAATATTAATTCACTTGAATTATACCAAATGCCAACAGAACTAAAGATGCAAAATATAGTTAATGTGTATAGCAAATGAGTATGTTTTTGGAGACTGAAACAAGATACCAAATAAAAATAGTTTTTGAGAATTCGAAATGATAACATTTCTGATGCATAGTGGGCCTTTAACTAAAAAAACGGAGTCCTGAATAATTTTAGCTGCTGTTGATACAAAGACTTTTCGAAGGCTCACATTTTCTAAAATTGTTTATAAATATACACCTTCTGATATGCTGGAATTAAACAGGTATAATGTTAAATTAGAGATGCAATCATTTTGAGTGTTGTCAATTATTAAAAATTCTGTATTAATTACGAAAGAGGAAATAAGCTAACATGTAACTATATATTGCTTTTCCCAAAACCATAATTTGCCTAATTCTTCCTTTCATTACGATAAGTTTTTGACGAGCAAAATAAACAAAACAAAATACAAAAAAAAACGCACACGCGCACACACACGCACACGCACCAACACACACGCGCAAACACACGCACGCACACACGCGAACACACACCCAAAAGAACATCAACAAAAACAATGAAAAAAAGAACAACAAAAACGGAGTATTATACAGTCAATTCCATAATTCCATCAAACTTATTATCTTCACGTTTTACATTTTTTGACAACATTTTTTGTATGAATCTACAATAAAAACCAAACAAATACTCAGTTTTGAAATACACCATTTCAGTACAACAAATACTAAATATACGAGCAGTAACAGAACAATAGGCGCCAAAATTGTTAAAAATGCGAATGCCCACCTACCATTTGGCAAATCAGCCCAAAAATAGAAAAGAATAATGCAAGCGATTCCATACAAAATTAGAAATACTGAGGCTGATATAGCTTCGACTTTGTTCTTAGTAAGAGTCTTGTTTACTGGTTCAAAATATGGCTTCTGAAATAAAAACTTTAGCTCATAACAATACAGACAGTCAAGTCATTAAGACATTCTAAACATTTATGCGTATGTTACGTATCAGCCTAATGTTGACGGTTGTCACCGATGACTTAATTCTTGTAGATTGAATTATCATACAAGATGTCCCTCTTATAATTATCTTATATGACGACATTCTACTTTTCAATGTAAAAGAAGACATCTTTATTGGGCTTAACAATCAGGAACTGACATTCAGTTGTGTATAAGAAAATGATCTTTTTTTTTCTTTTTATGTTATTTTTTTGTATTTTTATTTTTTGACAGACAGCTAAACACTTTAAATTAGATTTTAGAATTTTAAATTAAAGAAACGAAATACGATTTTATTAGCAATTTAAAGCATTTTTGTCATATGATATATGACTAATTGAGCGGTTATATCTCGAGATAAGAAATATGAATGCAAAAAATATTTACTTGTAGTGCAGAAAATCTTACTTTCTGTTGATCATTTGTATCAGTATTTCCATCTTCTATATCTTTGACATCGATGGAATCTTTGCCCTAGAATAACGTTAAACGTATAAACTATGATTGAAAGAATATATATATATATCATCAATGTACTTTTAATATTCACTGTTTAGATTCATCACGGAAAAACAAAAGAAAGCCAAAGTAAACTAAACAAAAGTAGAATTGCATTGTAAAATCGATTCCACATATAACTCCTAGTTTTTACAAAAGCTGATTCGAACATAATTATTAAGTAAAAAAGATGTAACCAGCAAGGATGATAAATCAACATGGTCATTTGAAATGCTTCTTTTACATTATGAAAACCCTTTAAACGACCTCTCTTCGCCGGTTTCCATTTAAATCATATTTGACAAATATTCGTTTAAACAGATCTTTCTATATAAGAAGAGGTCATGTTAAACCAATACTGAAGGGCTTATAAATACAGATAGAAAAAACTGTAGCTCATAACAATACAGACAACCAAGTGATTAAGCCAATCTAAATTACTATGCGTATGTTACGTATCAGCCTAATGTTGACGGTTGTCCGTAAATCACCGATGATTTTATTCTTGTAAAAATGAAAAATCAACTAACCGTGTGCATGTACATATACCAACACGCGTGATACATCAGGATTGTGCCAATAATGACAATGTGGAAAATTACCCAGCCGTCCAAATAAGTGAAGTACCAGACAGGAGGTAATCTTGAGTATATAGCTATCCATTGTAACACCGTTGTCGTAATTGAAGTAGTACATAATGTAACTCGAGCGCTTTGATCCTTGAACCCAAATGAGCACAAGGCGATTACAAAAAATACCGGAAATGGAGCAAAATACATAGATCCATAAGCTTTACTCCTCCTCACAATCTTTAAACTTGCAATTAAGTAGGAAAACTCTCCTCCTGAAAACAACGTCACATGGGGTTAGCCTTTAAATCAGTTGATGAATATCTAGTAAAATCATGATGTTAAAGGCCCATTATGCCTCATAATTTCTATCATTTTTATGTCTCAAAACATTTTTTTTTCAATCTTGCTACAGTCTCCAAAAACATGTTCATTTGACATGTACATTAACTATTTATTGCATCTTAAGTTCAGCGCTTTTTTCAGTTGTAAAACATCTGACATGTTCTTAATAACATTATTGATTACATGAGAAATTTAAAAAAAATATATAGATTTTTGGAGCATAATGTGCCTTAAAATTATATATAATATTATCTTCTTGTATGTTGGCATGTTACGTTTGTAATAGTTCCATGACAAACTTAAAATAACTAAAAATAGTATTAATGGTACAAAGGAAAAATCGTAGATTACTGTGTGCGTCGGATATTTTCTTTAAATTATCGGTAATTTCTTTGATTATTTTTTATTACTTATTGTAGATATATGTAAAATTTGATACAAAATGATACAAAAATTAAAAACGTTTGGTTTGCTGATATATACCAACAAGCGATCTGTTATCCTTTTTTTCCAAACCTTCTGAATGATCGTCTAATTCTATCATGTAGTTTGTCAAATCAATGTCTGCAGCAAGTACACTATTCTCAGACCATTGTAAAAGCAATTTGTCCGACGTTAATGTGTCTGAATACATCAAGTGATTAGTATATGCTTTTGTGAATGATAAATTCTGTATTAATTTTGATAAAATGATAATTGTGTGGGCGACAATCATGTAAAATTGAACCGTTAGCTATTTCTAGTTTATACAATTTTAATAACATGTATGTCAATCAATGCGTTTTTTATTTTTTAGTTTTTCGGGGCACTAACACAGTAATAGTCGTATGACTCCGAAACAGAAAATATTATTTGGGCTAACTTTTGGTGTAATAAACTTAAAGCAACACCAGGGATCAAAGCCACTCGCCCGCAGTAGTTAAGACATGCAAAGACGACTATAATGCAAACCCATTTAGTTGCCTCTTCTCTGACATGTAACAATTTTTTTTCTTGCAAAAAGTAAAATATTTATATGTACTCACAGCTTGAGAATCTAATTTTGCATATCTGTTCATCAAATGGATAATGATTTAAATTCATTTTACAATTTCCAGTCATCGCAGCTCTATAATGAAAGAAAGTAAATTTGTCTGTTACGTAAGGATTACATAAAAGTGTTTTAAAAAGGTGTTTTTGTTCACAATATACTTTTTAAACTGTACTTAAAATCCAAACATTGAAATATTTTATTAGATCGCGATCTTGTTATCACTTTTTCGTGGTATTATACTTTAACAAAATTGACAGAGAAGACAGAGATGCTAATGCCATCATTTGAGGAAAAAAAGTCAGCAACGTTTTTGTTTTGAGTGTTACAGGAAACCCTGCCATTGGAATACCTTAATCACCTGCACCAATTAAAGACCTTTTTCAAAACGTGGGGCGTTGCTTTGAAAAATTGACCAGATGTAGTATTTGACCAGTTGTCCCTCGGTGTCGGTGATAGTGTTTTGAACTGTTGCCCTCGGCCTACGGCCTTGGGCAACAGTTCAAAACACTAATCCCTCCACCTCGGGCCAACAGTTTGACTGTTCCCAAATCACATATAAAATAACTGTATATTAATGCACATTTTTTAAGTATTCAGCTTGACTGATTTATCCAAGTAATGTCAAACAGTCACATAAATGTCTTTGAGAAATTTTACATAATATTGAGAAAATGCAAGAAATTGGTAAATACTTATGACTGTTTACGAAGGTTCCAATGTCAGAAACGAATGCATCATTTAGGGTCTCTCCAATTAAAAACCAAGAATTGATGCGTATATTGTAGAAATCATCAAATCAAGTAAATTATTTAAATCCGCCATTGCATTGGTTAGTTATCTACCTAAACTAGATTAGATCAAATTGTTAATTAAGTTGTTGAATAGTGATTAAATATATTCATTTGTTTTCGCAATTTTTGCCCAACGCAAAAATGCGCATGCGCGAATTGTGCTTATTGTATCTGGTATGATGCATATTATCACTACCGACACACTTAACAACATATTAGCTTGATTCCTGATACAAATATAAAGCTTATAGAAGTATATTGTGTTACTTGGTCATTTTCTGTGTTTTACATTTAATTTACTTGTACATTATCTACATCATTTATTATGGATTCATAGATGATATTAGCAAAGTGAAAATAAAATAAGACAGTTATCAGTGACATTATTTACTTCTGTTAAAGGTCTTTGACCATAACTCAAAATTGTCTGCTAAAATATGCAAAAATGCTTTCAAAATGTTGGTCAGTTTTTGACTTGCAAAATACTGGCAATTTACGCTAGGGCATTTGATGACAAAGCTTCATTAAATTTGGTCAAAATCTATTGTGAAATGTATAAGGGGTTGACAAGTCATTGCTTACGCCCGCCCGCCTGCTGGTTCGCCCACTAGCCGACATACCCAAATATATTAACAAGATTTTTCCATCGGAAAACCTGGTTGGATAATAACTACCTCATACTAAATGTAACTGTCCCATTAGGATCAATGTAGGCAAGTTCTTCGTGTTTCACAAATGAATGAGGATCAACTTTTCTCTCATTACTTATATATACGTCAGGTGTCCAAATCAAGTCGACCATATCACCAATCAAGTCGATGCTTGTGAAGTTTGCGAGGTCGTTAAATGCAAGTCTTTTGTCCCTCCACTGCATTCTCAAATATATCATCATTTTATATTCCTAAAAACATATCCATACACATTTTATCTATATGTTTTAAATTAAGAAAACAAAACATAAATTAAAAAAAGAAACTAAAACAATAATATAAAAACCTCGAACTCGCACAAGACGAAATATTTTTTTTTTTGTAAAATTATTACAATATATTACGAAAAATCATCTTTTCATATCATCTTACATACAGATTTGTTGTAAAAGGAAAACCCTTTTCCAAGTTTAGAAAGGTTAAAAAGTAGTTATTGAATACGTAATATTACTATCAATTACGAGCAAACAATTCTATTTTATTTATCTGTTACATTTGTAAGATGTGATGACTGCAGATGGTATTTAATTTACAAAAATAATGACGGTATAGCCATTCAATAAGTACAGTTAGAATTGTAATTAAAATTAATTAGGGAATTCGGAAATGTTGTTTTTTACTCGACTTCCAATTTGTTAATCTTAATCTGGATTACAGACATGTTTTCTTAGTTTTTTTATTATACCACAACACAATTCATTGGTATACTTCAACTAGAAAAGAGCACAACAGAACCCTTTAAGAAAAGCAAAAACTAGAAAACCTTGTGTTTGCGCACCTTTCCTACATCAATGATTTATATGACTTTCTTGTCTACTAATAAACAGAATGCTGTTTGATTAGCGTTTCGCTTTCATTTGGAAATGCGTTCCGTCACATGTTAACAGCGAGTTTGAATATAATTTAAAATATCTACTAACAATGTCAGTGTGGCTCGAAAAACAAACAGAAATTGCATGAAAGTTAACCTTCTCATTTATTACAGCCAAAACGATATTTGATTGACATTTTTAGTGAATTATTTTTATCATATGCCGGACATTCAATCATTTTTTTTTCATATCTCCAGTGAATAGTTTAAACATAACTTATATAGCCTCCATTGTTATAAAATCTAAGCATATCAGAGTCCGCATACTAGTCTCCTTCTTAGAAGTATGAAGTATCAAATATTGATATCAAGAAACAAGATCGTGGACTCGTAGGGTTGGAACTGCGTAGATTCTTTTATCGTTAGGGAAAACATTTTGCTATAATGTCTTAATAATATCTGTCATATTTTGCGGTTCGGATCGGAATATCCGTCCCGAGGTGACCCGCCCATTGGGCGGTAACGAGGCTTGCCGAGTTACCGCCCATGGGCGGGTGACCGAGGGACGGATATTCCGATCCGAACCGCAAAGATATGTCAGATATTTTTTCTTGCATATTCTACCATTATACCATTATATTTTAAATTCTTTATCTTTATTTTCAATGAAAATTTATATCATTACAACCGTAACTACTTTCATTCAACAGCGTATGAATTACAAAATCATTCATAACGGTACAATGACGTCATCTTTATCGTGCCATTGTACAGCACGCGACTCATCTGGAACCCCCCATGCCAGATGAAATTTCCGGCATGGGTAAAACTAACGGAAACGCCAGTCTGATATGCAAGAATATGTTCTCTTGCCAAGAGAAGTTTCCTTGCACATATTAGATTAATAATATCTGTCATATTTTGCGGTTCGGATCGGAATATCCGTCCCGAGGTGACCCGCCCATTGGGCGGTAGCGAGGCTTGCCGAGTTACCGCCCATCGGCGGGTGACGGAGGGACGGATGTTCCGATCCGGACCGCAAACATATGTCAGATATTTTTTCTTGCATATTCTACCATATTCCATTATATATTAAATTCTTTATCTTTATTTTTAATGAAAATTTATATCATTACAACCGTAACTGTTTTCTTACAACAGCGTATGAATTACAACTTTATAAATGTAACGGTAAAATGACGTCATCCTAACCGTGCCATTGCACAGCACGCGACACATCTGGAACCCCCCATGCCAGATGAAATTTCCGGCATGGGTAAAACTCACGGAAATGCCAGTCTGATATGCAAGAAAAGAAAGTCCTAGATTGTTTTTGTATTATTTTCTAGCATTTAAAACTGAAATTTATTGTGTAAGATTATAAACTTTCAACATAGGATGTTAAATGTTATACTGTATTTTTTAAATGTGTGCAACATGTGTTTTATTTAAAAAAAAAAAAGGATCCAACTTACTTTGGTTGCAAGCCTTATCCTACCTACCGAGAAACTTTTTGTTCTGTTACATTCATAAGAATCATTTTTTTTTCAAGAATGAATTCTAAGTGAACTTCAAAGAATATATAAGGAAGTGATATCCTACATAATTGTCTTGGCAATTAAATCAATCATTGATTATTCAGAAACAGGTTTACTGTTGTTTTAAGAAATTTTGCAATATACATTACAAATTTATATGTGAACGCAATTGTATCATGGTTTCGAGAACTTTCTGTTGAAAATGTGTCTAGTGTAACATCGTATATACATGTATGCGAAGTGCGTTAACCGGAGTGCAGTTATTAGTTACCAAAGCATGGCCATTGATTGGTTCATTTTTTTCCTGGGGTTTATTTTTGACAGACAGAGAAAGAAATAAAAATTCAAATGTCACATTCAGATGCTTGTTCATTGGTAACTTTTTTGAGGTTTCATATTATGATAAAAGGGACGTGTTTTTCATTTGCTACGCCCTCTCATATTAATCAGATAGCCACTTGTTTCTATGTTCTTTTTATTACTTTTAGCTTTCTATTTGTTACCATTTTTTGTTCACTTATTGATGTCACATCTGTAATCTCTAGTTGCGCAATTACGTCACTCGGTATATCTGCAAAAGAAATCAACGTTGATAGAAGAATAATATAGAACAATAAGGAGGAAGGATGTATCAATTACGCTTTAACGTTAATAATTATTTTGTCCGTTAGAAATAATGTTGTCCATTAACGTGATATCAAAGATAAAGCTTTTGGATTTTACTAAACATTTTAGCCCTTTGCGTTACATGTTTGCTCATTAAGTTAAACATTTATACAAGGAACGAAACATATCCAGAGCTGAATTAAAAACACGCGATATTTTTGGGACCAGAATTTGATTATAAGTTTTAAGGAAATAATATTAGATGCATGCTGTGCACAGAACACATGGACATTAGCAGAAAGCAAAAAAAAAAAACGTATCACAGTTTGTTATTAACTTTAACTATAATTGACGCTAATTATGTCAGACTACCTTCCATAATGACGTTCATAGAATAAATGGCAGTGGAAGCGAGGTGTTCAGTAACGATTGTGTTCACATCTTGTGTCTCGAACATCTATCTACTCAACGTTTCCTCATGGCTTTCAGAACGTTAGTGAACTCTACTTTAGAAATGCGACGACATTGATCTACAAGGACACGTTGAAGATCTTGCATATCTGTTCTACAAATCTCGCCTTTAAAGTATTCGATCGGCCATTCCATGACTTGAACACCAGCATTCATCAGAAAATTCTGCGTAATATTCTGCCATGTGGGGCCAAGCGTTGTCTTTCTGGAACGTTAGTTCAGGGTCATGAGTCGGAATCAGAACAGGTTGCAAAATAAAATCCCTGTACTGAACAGCATTTCGCTTGAACGACCACAAGAGGAAAATATCCTGACGCAAAAATTAAATGGTCCCAAACCATGAATCCACAACCACCAAATGTGTCGCCTACACACACAAAGAACTGAGTGTGTCGTTCACCTCGTCTGCAGTACACACGGGCCTTTTCGTCGGCAAATCTAAAGGTAAGTCCTAGTTTGTATAATCATGGAGACAATAGAATTCTACTGTCATTAAACTATTATTGCCTTGTGGTTCACACGAGTCAGCTACGGAGGTGAAAGAGGTGTTGAAATTAATATATTCTTCGGCAGCGATGTTCTGCAGTACGCATGCAATCTCTGACAGTGTGTGAATTTATTCGTCCACCAAATATCTCCCTACATATGGAAGTTTCAGTGACAATTATTCTGTGGCGAAAATGACGTTATGGTATTACTTGATCATGTTGTCTTGTCGTCTCCTGGCCTTGGGCGGTCGGCAACTATTATTAGACATAACTCTGAAGCATGATGAGACGCTGTGTCATACGCAAGACCAAAACTTTAAGGTTAGGGAATCTCGGACGGCCCATAACTATATCATGCATCAAGCGATTTTGGAGCAAGTTCGCAGAACTGTCTGGCACAATGAGTTCTTGTTATCCGAGCAGTTGTGATAATCAATGCTTAATTACTTAGACAAAATAGAAATACTTGTTATTTATGTAAAAATGTATTGAGATTTTATTTATTCAATTGTGTGCACGATTTCAGACTTAACTGAGAAACTTGTGTACGGTCATACTCCAATTTATGCCTTTAAAACTGCTTTTTTTATCTTCAACCATCCTACTATAAAAATCGTTGCAAAAATGCTAATGAAATACCAACATTGGGTCTTAAATCTTATTCGGTGTCCTAACATTTATGGTAAGGGCATCCGTGTCGTTCATAAATATTTCCAGTCACGGTGCGTATAAAGATAAGGCAAACATGCACTAAATGACAGCATAATTTAGTGTTAGCACATGCATACCTATTTTCCATTTTGCAGTGCTACAAGATCACAGAAAAGATCACTGAGTAATAATCAAAATAGTCAAAATTTTGGAAAACGCGTGTTTGAAAAATTCCGATTTTTAAAGAAATAGAAAAGTTACAACAACGTTTGCCCTGCATATATGTATTTACGATAGCTTATACGCATTATTTCTTTAAAACTCGAACAGTACGTAATACTTTTTATAATCAAAATTATGTGAACATGTTTGAGGCAACCATCATACTAACACTGTTTTATTTTAATGTTAATTAATTATTTTGGAACACGCATATAAAATAAAATTAGAACAGTGTTTAAAATACTTTACTCGTATGAAATTGAATAGACTCGCGAAATGTTACCGTCGATCTTTTTGAAGCGCCTCTGCGATTGACTGTGCTTGACGTCCCTAACGTCCTTTCTTTTGTCAAGGATCCTAGTCTTAGTCCAATATTTGGTTCGGTCTTTTATTGTGTGGCTGAGTGTTATCCAACATTTAGTAAAATTAAATGATCGTGCGAATTTTTCTTGTTATTCAACTGATACCATATTTCTATACATGTATTTACTTGACGATTCGCTATAAACTTGCATGTTTAGCCATTTCCCGTCTTAACGGCATCAAATTTAAACATGAGATAATCTGACTGTAGTTAAAAGTGTGGAATAATGGGGAAAAATATACGACAAATTATGGATGAACAAGAAGTGTAAGTTACCTTCAATAATGTTGAAACTCGCTTTATTCGGAAATTGTTTATTCAATGCGTTTAGGAAAATTATAAAATGAAATGGTCAAAATGAATACAGCATTTTTTACCATCGAAGTACATTTGAATTGAATGCAAATTTAGAGCGTGGGTCAATATTTAATGCAATATGAAGTTTATTTCCTTTAAATTAGATCATGATTTTTGTGTAAGTGTAAACTATGCTTGGTTTTAAGAATTTTATTTAAATTAAAAATAAGTTACATATGTAACATGTAAAAAACATTCACAAAAAAATAAAAAATAAAAAACGCTAAAATTACGGACTTCCTTAAAAGCTCGAGCTTAACTAGGAAAATCAGTAATGAGTTTCTTGACAAAATTCCAAATTATATATTGACCCACCCTCGTAAAAGAATATGAAGTCACAAACGTCCCAAACATTTTCATTTTTAACAATCGTCGTATTAAGATTCCACCACTACATTATGTAGTGAAGGAAAGAATAGTGTAGTGAAGTGTGGCGTAAAGTATTGTTAAGATTAGAAGAAAAGATTTTTTCGACATGATGAATGTTCCTATGCAAATAAATACAAAAACAAAACAAGTGATAAAACAGTTATACATGTATTTGCGTCTGTCTTGATATAAAATATAATAAAGTCGTTTTTGTCTAAAATATATCTTACCTAAAAAAGAGAAAAACTAAGAAATTATACATACGTGCATCATAACCAGCCGGGTAGTTTCTGTCGTATGTAGAAACACTTGTTAAATTGTTTAGAATTTCCTCTCTGAAATTGAATCTAGAATTATTTATTTTGCTTAAATATCAATATTTAATGCAATCATATAAGTGTAGTGCATAGTTACTGTAATGTTTCTATGCTGCAGTTACACTACGCATTACCGGCGCCAGTGATGAACGATTGCTGAAGGATGACATATATTTACATATACCTTAAGTTTATTCATTATTACATGTTGGCATTATATATTAATCATGTAGGAACTATCAGGTTACTTTAAACTCTTTTTGTGACTGTCTTTTTCATTACAGCCTAGCACAGCAGACTGGTGTCTCAGTTAGTGTTACCATTGCCTGTAATTTCGTCTGTGATGGGGGTGGGGCGTACCAGATCAGTCGCGTGCAATACAACAACGTCAGAATGTTAGCCGCTTTTTAAGCATAACGGCATTCAATCATCACTTATTACCCGCTCAAGAATTGTTTATATCTAAAGAAAAGAGTCAGACAGATACCTGATAGTATCTCCAGTCAATTGACAAATGACATTGTCCTTACGCGAGTTACAAAAAAATACCAAAGATTTGTGTCCCCATTTCGTAATAAGTGAGTTTTAGATCTCTGTAATCACTTGCACCGGTAATAAAGTGGGACTTACATCAATATAAATACGAGTGAAAGATGCAAATATAGCTTAAAATTACAACCTTTATTGTTTATTTTCTTCGATTTGTTTGGATATATATGTTTTAACGCTGCTCTCGTAAAATATATACACAAACAACTCGTTGAAAATAAAGCCCGTATTCACAGAAAAACTTGAATACCTTCTGTTTATATAATTATTAAAATCAACGGTATAGATTAAGAATAAACCTACCTTGTTTTTTTAGACTGAACTTTTAAAGTGTGCACAAAAACACATAAGATGGTAATCAATATTGTCTTTCGATCCATCCTGCTGTTAATATATGGGTAGGCGTATTACATTGTTGTAAAATCTATGTGGACTTTGCTATAATAAGATGATGCACACGTCTTAAGAGGTTTTGCTCCGATAGCATTTGTCTAACCCGACGCATGCATGTTTATATTGACTAAGATAAACGTACTTATGAGATATAGTTGAGTCAAGTGTGTGAGTACAAATATTATCAAAGTTTCATAGAAAAACGATATGAGAAACACCTGGTCATTTTAAAGGCACATTATGCCTCAGAAATGTATGCATTTTTAAATTGTTTCGATTTAGTAATGTTTTAATAATGGGTTTAGAGCATGTAAGGTGTTTTACAACTGAAAATTGTTATAAAGGTAGCAAAATTTAAACAATGTAATATTTTGACTTACATACAAAATATTTATTTACTATAATCATACCAATTGTCATCATAGCATAGAAAGTAAGAGATAATTCATCTATGTAAAAACTAAGTATTTTTAAACTCTAACAAGATACCAAAAATAAAGTGTTTCTGAGAAATAAAAGTGATCATTTCAAAGTCACAATGGGCCTTTAATCAATAATTTAATCTAATACATGTATTTGGAAAGGAATTGTGGGAAAATGCAATGAGTAACTCTTTGGTAAATTTTACCAATTTTTACAGTCTGATTTAGATTATTTATAACATTCATTTGATCCCTCTTAAAAATCTGAAAGTACACTTTATTGTATTTCAAACGCTCTTAAATTCTGCACTTATATCTGAAATCTAAATTGTAGTATCAAAATGTGTCCTTTAATTAGTTACAACTATATTTACATCTGTTTGTTAACTATATTTTTCCATCATCGACATTTACCTTGAGCAGAGAGTAAACATAATATTGATATACTTTAAACGTCTTTTTTAGACCTTAATTGCAAATGATTAAAATAGATTTGACGTCAAACACCGTTATAACGTTATTTCATGTGTTCCGATAAGAAACTGGGAACCATATTTATGTAGAAAATAAAATATATAATCAATTTATCTCATTCTATAGAAGACCGATATATATACGCAAGTAAAATTAGTTCCTTTACTGGCATTCATTTCATATTTTGTTATCTAGGTCATTTAGAATTGTTATTATACGTACTTTGGCATTTTCATCTCTTTTTGTTTTTGTTTAATTTCTGAAAACAAGACATTCTTTGTATCAATTTATCTAACAATTATAGTTAAAAGTCGTGCCTCTTGATGATTTAAAGAATTTTTCAACAATATATACCTACACTTTTTTCATGTTTTACATTCGTAGGAAAATATGAACAAGCAAACATAATATTCTCAACTTTGTATAATTGAAGAGAATCTTATTTGAAAAAATATCATGTAAAATAAATTGTGTGTCACCATCCTACTTTTTATTTTTTTAGTTACTTGCCTCTTAAAAATTAGTTTGTTTTCCCTGTGTTATATTCAAGAGCAGAAAACTTAAAGTCAAGCAAACTTTATTTCAATTATTTTTTGTGTAACTTTTCTTTCAGTGATTTATGTCTAAATGAAAGCGAGATTCCGCACATTTCTAACATAATTATTGGTTGAAAACTATCAATATTATAACTATTTACATGTATCACATAAACTGCAGCATGGGAGTGTAATAAAATCATTTAATAAAAATGATAATACAATACTAATAATTTCCGTCGGATGCTGTAGAATTTAAGATTTAAGTGTCCGCCAATGGCGATGTGATACCCTTAACAGTTGCCAAGAATACGCAACGACGTCATGTTCAAAAACAGGCTTTGATGGTCAACTTTGACGTCGTGTGTAAAATAATTTGCTGAAACTATTGGATTAAAATCAACGGAATCTGTTTAGCAATTTTGTCAGCTTTATGCATGCCAATTCTCAAGACGCTCCTCGAAAGTTCACAAAGTGTCGCGGTCTACTTTATAGCGCGATAATGTTAGCGTTAAACTTTAGGCACGTCAATGAAAATTGACACTTTTTAACAGTTTACCATTCTTAGTATGTGATAAATAGAATATTATATTCGTGTAGACTTAATTCTAAATTTATTGAACTCGTTCAAAAAACAATATTATTCAACTCGTTCAATAAATTTAGTATTAAACCTACACTCATTCGATATCCTCTATATACATCATATATCTATCATGTAAATGCCTTGTAATTCACGTATGATAAACATTAGACTACTTAGACTACTTAATGGCTTGGTAAGAGTAGTCAAAAAGATAAATATGTCTTCATTTAAATCGGTTTAATAAAATCGCCCAATTTATGTATATAACCAAGTATGAACACTAATATGTAAGATAACTTTTCCTGCGTTTGTATTGACATCGTTTTAACGCTAACCTCCCCTTATCCACTTGTAGGAATTAAAAAAATAGCATAGGCATTTCATTCGTTAGATAAAAGAATAAACGATTTAACTGGTTCAAATGTCATTTTACTTGCCGTTACATAACTTGAATAAAAATGTTGTTTTACCAATGATTCATCAATGATTTAGTTAGCTCTCTTTGAGTGAATAATATCAGACAAAATGTCTAAAGATCACTGAAGCACAAACTCGTCTGGTATTCAAAATAGGTACCTCTCTATTAGACATATTGGATGTTCATCGCATAGCCGATATTAATAAGGAATAACAAGAAGTATGTTTCAAACTATATTTTCGGCAAGTTTAACTATTGTTGGTAAAGTTCTGAGTGTTGCTTTTACTCAGAAATATTAGCAATGTTTTGCTTTGTTTCAGAAATATTATCAATGCATTGCTTAAATGCAGTAATATGACCAGCTTTTGTGATTGCAGAGTACACGAATAATGTCATTATGTCCAAATTGAGTAAATCATCCAGGTTCAATAAACACAAAAGGAGGAAAAAAACAATATCATGTTTCATTGTTAAAAAGCTGTGATGTTGAAGAAAAAAAAAGAGCAAAAAGAAGATTAGGGACAGCAATACTTGTTCACAAATAGCTTGTATTATTTTCAATTATGTTTTGACCGTCAGATAACATGGGATCTATTGATTGTACTACAGCAGTACATCAATTCGAATACAGCATCAAACTGAATACTGGTATTTTATAATAATATGTCCTTGGTAATATCAATTAACAATATATGTACCAAACATGTTTATTACACAAGCTTACAGTATTTGCATTAGGATCAACAATATGTTCATTTATAATAGATACAGCTTAATCAGATAATTCTATATCTTGTATTTGTTCATCTTCGTTAGTTTCAGATTCATCAGAACCTGCGCCGGATGTCTGTTTCACATCTTCTAGGAGAAATTGCGCTTTTTCTGTTGTAGTTTTTCTTTCATTGTCTTCTTCGAACGATTTACTGGTTGATTCTGTAGTAGTATTAAAATTTGTTTCAACGGTTATTTGTTCAACATTCCCTTCATTGTTAACAGAACTATTTGATTTCTCGTTATCGACTGTTCCAAGATCTTCAGTCATGGTTATATTTATCATATTTGTGTCAGTAGCTTCAACACTTGTTTTATTAACTATCTCGTTGAATTCCTGTTCATTAAGAATATCTCGGTCTTCTTCATCATAAAAGTCGATATGGTGTCCATGCGCTGCAGTATATTGTTTTCCATACACAGGAGGTCCTAAGACCATCTGTGATTTTCCTACATGTGATTCAAACATAGGGGGTCCTAACGCCATCTGTGATTTTCCTACATGTGGTCCATACGCTATAGGTGATTTCATTAAATGTGGCCCGAAAGGCATTTGTGACTTCCCGTGTCCTTGCTCAGCAGGCATAACGTGAGCTCCGGGTGGCGGCTGGCTGAAGACTGGCAAAGATTTACTGTTGTATTGAATATTGTTCGGAATATTTTTACTTCCGTGAGATAAACATTTAGAAACACCCTCAACAAGGTCTGTGCAATTTTCGTCTCCATGAAATCCTTCCAATTTACCAACCATCGGTGCCATCAGTCCTGCATATGGATCATAAACCGGGCCTGGAAGGCCAACAGCTCCCCATGGTCCAGTTTCTCCACACATACCAGTTTCTCCTTTATCCCCTTCAAAGCCATTATGTCCCGGTGGTCCGGTGATTCCAATTTCTCCGATAGGCCCTGGTTCCCCATAGACACCAACTCTTCCAGGAACGCCGGGTCGCCCTGGATAACCAGGGGGTCCCATAATACCACATTCTCCTTTTTCACCACGTGGACCTGGCCAGCCTATCATACCGATAAAGCCGACATGACCCATAATACCTGGTGGACCCATCTGACCTTCATATCCGATATATCCGACAAGCCCAACGTCCCCAATATAACCCGCGTTACCTTTGAAACCTTCTTCTCCCTTTTCGCCCTTTGGCCCCTCAACACCTGTGAACCCAGGAGGACCCTTCCATCCTGGTGGACCATATGGACCAATTGGTCCACGTATTCCGGGAGGTCCAGCGACACCTTTTGGACCTTTTTGACCTCGTTTGCCCATGTGGCCTGGTCGGCCTGGTATACCAGGACGCCCTATAAAAACAAAAATATATATTAGATACTATCTATAATAACTTCAATAAACAGTTTTCTGCTTGTGATATTAAATATACGTATAGCTATGTGTGACAAATATGTCATATTACATTACTTTCAAGGTATTACTGGTAAAACTTCCTTGTAAATATATTGCAATGGTTTAATTAAGTCTGTCTTATCATAATCTATATTCCATAAAAAAGAAAATGATGTTTCGATTAATATATTACTTGCTATACTTGTAATATGTTGTTCTAGACAATGGCAATGGAAAATTCTAACAATGATGCCACCTGAGTTATAAGTTACAATCTTTAGAATATGAGCAAAATACGATGGTCACAAAATATGATGAACAAGATCAACAAGTCAACACGCTTGTTAACTTAAAACTTAGTGTACATAATGACCGAAAAATACAATGTATCATTTTTTTCAACTTTTTATTATTACAAAAAAGCATGGCCGCAAGCAATTTCTTTTCATTATTTTTCTCGTTATAACTTTAGTTTTAACTGCTGTGAAAAACAAGAGACAGTTTTGTTATTACCATGGTCGAGAAAGCTTCCTGGATTTACTGATATGAAACATTTCTGATATTGTGTTGATAACACAAGTGTGCTCCGGAAAAGATTACTAGTAAACGAACAATCCCACACAATAATGGGCGGCTCGTCTGATACCTAACCTAACCATTTGTCTGTTATATGAAAACGATTGCACCTTAAGGAAGGATTATGCACTTTATTACACATTAAACAAAAACAACATTTATTCTTACCTGGACTGCCAGGTTTTCCAGCAAAAAAGGCAAGTCTTGGATCCTTCAGTGCTCTCTCGCGACGACTCAAAACTGAAAATAGACAACGCAAATTCAAAACCCAGATTACTTGAATACTAGAAGGTCTGTAGTACCATAAATGCTTATGTTAACAGCGTGACAAAAAAATAAAAATAAAAATTATATATGAATTATGTTGGTAAGTGTGAGAGGCATGGTCTGATATTTTATATCTGTATAAAAGACATAAGTTAATAAATTGGTCTACCAAAAACAGCTCATTAATCTTCACACTAAATCACATAAAACTGTATAATTTATGAACATTATTTACAGATTATCTAAATCGGATTTGTTCTAATTTTGCGCAACATTATTTTTCATATTGTCCTATTATAGAATTGATTTGAGATCTTGCGTAGACAAATATAAGATTTAAGTGTTCTGGAATTATTTTCTTGAAATTATACAGTCATGTTAACCATGTTTTTACCCTGTAACTCACTGAAAAAAGGTAATTTTGACATATTTTGACATTTGTTATCATATACCCGCAACTAACCTTAATTATTTCAGTTAGATTAATAATATTCTTTCTTATAGCAATATATATATATAAAAAATATTGAACAAAGATATTGATGTTGGATGCATAAAGTCGGTGAAATTGACGAAAATATTAACAAATGTCATATGTTATACAAAATTTTTCTTATTAAATGTGAGCCAAAAATTAATGGGTTTAAACGTTAAAACGACGTTTTTAAAATTTTACAATAATTCTGAAATAGAGACAGACGTGCAAACATATCACAAAAGAATATACGGATGTTGTTGGTAAGTGAATATACAGCAGATAATAAAATAGAAAAGAATAAAGTTTATAAAATATTATTAATGATGATCATGTAGATATAACTATATATGTTCATATTTAATCTCTTTAGAACTCTTTCAACATAGTGTTTTCCAAAACATTTTCATATTATATCCAAACGATATATTTTTCTATTGTTTTTCAAATATTTGAAATGCTTATAAAAATAGTGCCCATTGTAGATGACCACTTTTAATCAAGCCTAAACCCACACATTTTTATATTTCGTTAAACGATTGAGGATAGATGAATGAATGAATGAATGAATGAATGAATGAATGAATGAATGAATGAATAAAAAAGGAAAGAAATAAGGAGTGACCTAATAAATGAATAAATTTTAAGCCTTAGTATACTTTGTTGTATTATGGTCTCTATCGGATCGTTCCGACTTATAATTCCTTCACATTTTTTCTTTCTATCTTATTTTCATTTATATGTTACAAGTATTTTAATGGGATGTTCGCAATTACTCTCTGAACTCCACCTTTTTTCTGTAACAGACACACATTTCAGTACAGATAACATCTAAGTAGTAGACGGCGTTTCGCAGACGTGGTTAATTTAACTTTATTACAAATGTTCGTTTGTGAACCTTTTATCCATGGAAACGTGTTCCTTTCCTTTTTTCACAATCAGCAACGTTGTTTTTAATGGACTTGCTTCATTTAATATCAACATGGTTATTTTACGAAATTGTGCAAGGGTTGTAAAATACACCTACTGAGAAAATGTTCAATGTTTGATGTTTACTCTGCAAGTTTTATTTCTTCATTCATTCATTTTTTTTCATTGTCATCACTTGTAATTTCGATTAATTTAGCACTGTTATCGTTTATTTATGATAGTTAAAAAACGTCAAATTCAAACTCAAAACTCACATTTGCTGTTTTCTACGTTCTTTTTTTAATTGACAGACACCCGTTCTCTAACAAGAATAAAATCTCTAAAATGATTTAAAATAGCGGAAGGCATAATCCCTAAAGAAAGCCCGAAAACAACCAAAAAAATTCGAAAATGATGCAGGCTCGTTTGGATTGAGTCTGTTCTTGGACCTAAACTTAAATTGAAGACTTTTCTTTGTTTGTGTGTTCAACATTAAAAATCATTTACAAATTCTAAAATACCACTTGGGTTGTAAGACAATTTTCTATAACTGTTTGATATACATGTATATCCCTTATAAAGTTTTTTTAGAAAGATGTTGATATTACAACACCTTTTTAAAATGATTTTGATTTAAAAACTCATTTGTTTTAATGATATAAAGTATCATAATTATGTACACATAGAACAAAGTTAACTTTGTTTCGGCTTCATATATATCCAGCGGTTGTACTGAAATAATATTGTTGTAAAACAATTTTCTAGAAAATGGTGAGGTTTAATTATTGCAACCAGGTAATTTGGTGCGCTTACTTGTGAAGTGTTAACTAGTTCTCTAGAAATTTATAAATAATATTGATTGATTGATTGATTGATTGATTGATTGATTACATAAATTTGCTATGATAGCTTCCGATAAATTGTTTCTTACAGTAAAATGTAGAACTTTTGAACATGTTTTTACGCGCCTCCTAGTGAATTTTGCCTTGATTATTTCTTGTATATAAATTTGCATTACTAAAGTATTAACATCTCCAAAATTTGGACTGACATACGTATAGTACGTAAGTGGGGAAAAATAAGAAGCTTATAAATTTCAGTTCATTCAACTGATAATGATATATTGTAAATCATTTCTGAATGTTATTTTATATATCCATCTTAGAAATATACATGTATATCGACCTCAAACACAAACACATATATTTAATTCAAGAAAAAATGCATTAGAACTACTAGAGAGTGAACTGGAATGCAACTGATGAAATGAATGCGATGTAATGGACATGTGGCAAAAATAATCATTAAATGTTCATTGATTAAGAAAAGGTATTCATGAATACAGCTTTTATATAACATAACACGAAAATTACCTTCAAGTTTGTCTGCTCTGACTTCAACCATTTGTCTCTCAATCGCATCCACGCGCATGCGCCATTCCTGCACTTCGTCTGTTTCATTGAATACTTTCTGCTCCAATACCGCTAAATTATCATCGAATGAATTTTTATTATCATCAATAACGCCTTGTACAATATCATCAAATTTTAAACATTGTCTAGTTGATAATAAAGCAACCAACACAATTAAAACACAATATATTAACGAGACTGACGCCATTTTAGTAGACACCTTTTCGAATAATGTAGAGTAGTTTTCAATCCCTCCAATTTATATAATGAAAAAGGTAAAAAAAATATGATGAAGGTTGGCAAATTCTATAATGTCGGTTAATCAACGAAATAGGAAACCAGAAAGATATTCTGACCTGATAAAGGTCAGTCTAATTTCCTAATTGTTTGATGTTAGAAAGTTAAACCTGGAGGAATCATCCTTCACTGGAAATTTGTAAACTTGAAATTAGCAATAAATGCCTGGAATGCCTTTGTAACAATATCACTTTCTAAACCACACACAATCTAAACTAGATTAGTGGGACTGCATACGGTTATTTCTAAGGTCTCTAAAGTTCTTGGTGCATTCGTGTCTAGTATGCCGCGATGTCTTCAATAAGTTAGATTATGTGACGAAACACTGTAAGTTTGAACTAAAAACAACCAAAACAACTATAACCTGGTATTTATTTTGCCTTTAAACGTTTCGAGAATAAACTTTTACATCTTCAGTTTAATCATACAGGAAAGATGCACGACTGATATAATGCAATACTATGATATTACCTTTGTAATATTATCTTCTTTATTGCGATGTTATCTAATGTATTAAGAGTTTAAACGGGAATCTATCCTATGTAGTTACAGATAGATGGCATGAAAATGAATTATATATGTTGAAAGGAGCAGTTTCATAAATGAATTGCATTGAATTGGTTTAAACTTATTTATTTCTTAAAGAATATGTAATGTACATAAAAATAAACAACAAACACAATAATTTTACAAAATAGAAAAGGATGAGAACGAAAGACGAGTTTTATAGAATTTTTATCCTTTGGCGAATGTCCTTACACATGAAATTGAATTGAATTCGTGTTAAAAATAAAATATCATTTGAGTTATAAACAAGACTTTAATATTTCAATTTAACATCAATTAAACATTTCTGTTACGATATATACGTATTATATTTTTATTTGTATATATGTCTATTCACCCCAGTCACACTAAGGAGCCATAATAAAAATTTCAAACTAACGCCACAGAACACATTGGATATCCATTGCGCTGCACTAAGATTTCACCGACTCTCTTACTGTCGGCATTCTTAAAGCGGATATTGTGTATGCTTGAAAATCGCTCAGAACGCAGTGGATACGCCGTGCGAGTCAAAGCAATAGAACGCCGTTATAATGCCATTGCAACATCTTGAGAGCACCGTCAAGTTTCATCTTCTCAATTTGTTTTCTTGCGTTCTGTAAAATATACAACGCGGTGTAAACACAGTGGAAACGTGGTATTTTGTGGAAAAGACTTTAATGCTTAACAAACTTTTTGTAAATATTCCTTATTGTATATAGAAATGATGGGAACAATTCAATTTGTTATAATACACGAGAAAATACACCTGACAATAAATAGGCCAAACCTGAATAGTCCCGGCTTCGGCAATCGTGTATTCGTGTGCTTATTCTGTTACTTAGGAGAAAACTTGCTTTGTGTAAATATATATATATCCTTTTTACGCCTACCATGTACCCATGTTTTACATTATTACTTAAACATGTGTATTACTTTTGCATGCGTGCAAAATTGAATTAAAAAAAATGTTGCTTATTTGATGAATTATCAGTTTTTATATTGGCAAGAGCATCTGTCAGGTGATAAATGAAACAAGCAGGCCGATTTACAGAAATCAACAGTCCTGAACAGAACAGTTATGTTTTGCTTAAAGTTTTACAACGTTGTTTGAATACTCATTAATGGCCAATTAGTAATCAAATCGTCATATTCAAATACCATGGCACTACTTTTATTTCTTGCAATTATTGCCAATTAAAAATGTGGGAAATGTTTTTACTAATGCTTTTTCCAAGTTATTAGTATCAGCATTGTTTTTTGTTGAATTGAAGTTTAAGTCAAATATAATATATCAAAGTATAAAAAGAGGTCGATAGATAGGCTCCTCGCAACGTTGGGAGAAAAAAAATAGTTTTTATCAATTAATTGTGATTGTTTTTTTAAAGGTAAACACAATTAAAAGATAAATGATGACATCAATATTACACAAGCCAAAATTAATTTGTTAAATTTTATAACCCTCAATCAATTTCAAACCTCGTATTTTCTACATTCTTTTAGAAAAGAGTTTTTTTCCATGATCGTTGTAAATTAATGTTTCCAAAATAATAAGGTTTGGTGTTCCCACATTCAATATAAACCCGGAATTTTAATAACTATAATTCAATATGTTACCAAATAATTTGAAAGATGAATCGAACAAATGCTTTAAAGCAGCTCGCTTGCAATAAGCTGAATTATTAAATAATAATAAAAAATTCCCTCTTTACTACCAAATGTTTACCCTTTCACTAATTGTGTAAAGGCTAATTCTACATTTCTGAAAACATAACTGTAGCTGTAATAGTAATTTCACAAGGTGTTAGAGCTCTTCCGTCCACACAACTAAATACGGACAACATATGATAAGTAACACAGAGGTATCTTGTTCGATCTTCGGGCGCGGCGTTATGTCTCTGTTACTTATGATCTCAGGCACTGTGTCTTGTGGTCATTTGTCCGCTTATTCAGAAATTATGTAGGATTCGTCGGTCTGTGGCTTGCTGGTTTATTATTTAAGAAAGCCAATTAGGTGGATCGAACACTGAGACTGGCATTCCCAAAAGTGTCTTCAAATCCGCAAACAATGACTTTATTTCATGCAGGGGGGATGCGGAAGGAGGGCTACTTTAAAATTTATGTTTTAGTATTCAATTTTCTTTTTATCATGCATTTACTTGTCACATGAAAAAGTGAAAATATGATCAATTTAATAGTTATTTTACCATGTCTTTCATACCTTTTGGAACATTTTCAAATCGTATGAATTGAATTCGCTTCCATTAAAATTGTTTTATTGTATGGTGTAACGTAACGGCCAATGTGATTTTGATATATCAATACAGGGGCAAATCGTTCAAAGAGACGCTAATGAAATCATGTTAAAGTTATCGCCCTCGTCCTCCATCGTTTATCGTAATGCCTCCTTGATTTCTAGTACTGATATGTCGAAAGTCCGAATATAAGATGTCATTTATGCATGAAACGATGTTTGTCGTAACAAGTTTTCGCGATATTGTTATATGTTTTTTTGATTTTTATAACGGCTTTTATAAACGGTATACTGTGTGAGAGAAAAAAATGCTACACATGCGTAATAATGCTTATAGAACGGTTTGACGTTTCTAAGATGATTGGCAGATTAAGTGGTCCATGATCTACCTAAAAATACACCCTGCACTACTGGTGCAATTTCATCCAATCTTTACAAGAATGATCAATACGAAATGTAGTTTGCATATCATCGGCATTTTTTGGTTCAATGATTTTTGTCAGAGCTATGGCCCTTTGATTATTTTACTTTTAAAACTATTCGGACTACTCCTCTAATACCACTAATGCAATTTCAAAGTGATCGTTAACTCAAGTATATTCGCATAGTACACGTATTTTCCGCTTGAATGATTTTAGACCGAGGTTTGACCCTTTAATAAATCAAAGGGCTGCAAGCTCTGTGGTATTTTCTGATCTTTGCAATCTAAATCAAACTGACTATATGTATGTATTTTCCTATAAAAGTTTATTTTTAGATACTATAATGCATCTTACGCAACGACTGCGTTAAGAGTTCTTTCTATAACAGTTTGAGATTGACCACATATTTGGAATTTTGCATGACTAGAGTTGCATTCAAAAATCATTTTTTTATGACAGCCACACTTTATCCTTGCATATCGTGGCTACTTCCTTTAAAAAGACACTTCAAAAAAAAGTTGCCTCGATTAGGGGATTTGAACCTTAGGGCCTCTCACACCCTAAACGAGCGCGATACGAGCGCGATACCCCTGCACCACGGTGATGTAATACGTTTAATATGTAGCCTTGAATAAAAACAAATACATTGTAATTCTAAATGAGAATTTCCATTTCGTGTTGTAATCCTTTTCAATTTCGAGGTATTTTGTTCACCGAAAACATTCCGACATGTTATATATTTCCACTACTCGGCAGTCAGATTTTTTTTGTGTACTGCGCCCTGGAGTATTCAGTAATCGACATACTAAAATAGCATTTTCATTGATTAAAATGATATTTCATCTGCGAAAATTTTGATTGTAACCTCATATTTCTATTGACTAATCTGAACTTTCGATGACATGAATTCGTTAAATTGCCTACATTAAAAATTATTCTGTCTTTTAAATTGCTGGTTTTTAAGCAGTTTTGAGTGAGAACTACTTTGCGTTGTTAGGTATGTTAGGAAATTTTGTGTTAGACCGTGGATGTTAGCTATGTATTTACTGATCTTGCGATCAGAAAATACAAAAATGCGTTTTACACTGTTAATGATTTTGTGTCTCCAGCTACACTGTAGCTGCAACATGCAATTGGCTATAATGAGGCGACACATGTGATTACGAAAAGCTCTTGCTTTAATCAAACGCCGGTTTCTGAATTGCAAATAAAATGTCATGTAACCTCTGAACTTTCAGTATTTAAACAAGAAGTGTCGGGAGCAGCATGCAATTTACCTCAATGTTTGATATTGACTATAAGCGTACATAAACAATTATAAATAAGTATTAAAAGTTTAGAAAACTTAGTTATAGTATGTTTCAAATTTAGTATCTTCAAGATGAAAATTTTCGTATTGACATCGTTATTTGTTTTTGCTCTAAAGGCGGACTCTCAAACTATTTTCAAACAATTTATTGTTAAAAACTTGAATTGCGAAAATCACATTGGAGCCATACTGCAGCAAATTTATTTTCGTTATTTCCCTCTGTGCGTTCAACTCTGTGAACAAAACATAAATTGTAAATCCGTTTTTTACTTGGAGAGGAACGGGAAATGTTTAACATTTAATCAGGTTTTACCGGAGGTTAATCAAACGGAGAATTGTGGAAACAATATTCAATATAGCGAAAAAGTGGATGTTAGTATATATTCGACTACTCATCTTTTATTCTGTACACAGTTATTTTATAAATTTTATAAGATTAATTACTAATTATATGTATAATAATGAATTGGCAAATGTAAATGAAATGTCTGTTCTGTTCCTATAATCTTATTGAACAATTGTACTTCAATTATATGCAATAATGTAATTTTAAGAAAGATCAGTATTACTTTATGTCAAGAAGTTATAATCTTTTAAATATACACTGTCTCGCACCATATCTAAAATTCATTTATTTTATCTTTTACCTAGCCAAATGAACTAATCAAGGAGGGTCTTGTAATCCTGAAAAGTCCGATAGAAAAAGCATGCACTAACAACAGTGATTGTACAGTGATCGACAGCGTATGTTACGATAAAGTTTGCAAGTGTATTCCCGGTTACAGTTACGATTCCACACTGCCTTTATGTGTTAAAAGTAAGAACAAAAATTTAATCACAAAATGAAAATTAAGAATATCTAAATAAATCACCATCTGACCTTGCTATACATATGATTTAATTTACGTTCAACTTATTATATATTTTGAAACCATATGATTCGTGGCAATTACACCAAAATTGATTAAAATGTAACAAAATATGTTAAAAGAAACACCGTCGAACAAAGTTTCTGGACACGTCTCCTTAATAAGATTTATGAGGAATCAAGTTGATATCTTAGAATAATTGTTCTCTATTGAATAAACTATATCCTAATTTGAATGTAAGTTTGGTATCTCAAACACCTTTCGCGTTATTTTCCAGACAAAAGTTAAACATGACAATTAAAAAACGGCAATATCTAAAACAATATTTGCATTAGGGGTTCATAGTAGAAATAGGTGCATTTATCTTAGCTTATAAATTTCTCGACTATACTAAAAAAACTCACATTTTCACCCCGCTAAAAAAAGACGGCGGGGGTATGGCAATATTTTTTTTATTCTTTTCATATCCGATTTTTCTAATGGTGAAAAGAATACGAACAAGGTGCAGGGATCTTTTACTGAATCATTTGGAAGAAATCATAAAATTAATATAAATTTCACAAAAAGTAATTCAAATCCAGTGTTTTTCGCGTAGGGGGTTGTGCATGTTTTTTTCTCCTCTTAATTTTTTATTTAAAAAAATGCTCCGACGAGGTTAAACCGCTTAACTTGCATAAATCATTGTGGTGTTTTGTATTAGCATTTAATTTTTAAATCTAGAAAACACTGCATGATATGTTTTTAAATGTATATATATATTGAAATAACATGTAATTATGCTTTAATAATATGCAAACAGTTACGGAAATTTGAATTTTCTTTTCTTCATATGAACATATCAATAACCACTGAACACAATACACCGAGTGCACCAAAAACTTCGGGATATTTTTTATTTGGTGTCATTCTGTATGCACATGTGTTTCCGGGGATCTTGAACGTTATTGGTAATCTCGTCATATTTGAAAAAGTTACGGAGTGCAATTTATATGTCGGTTAATTCTTATGTTGATCAAGCTATTTCAAATAGCCCGGAAATTTAACTTAAAAGTTTGTGTCCGATACTCATTTTTTATTATCATAAAACTTGGACGTGTATACATTTCAGAAAGATCCTTTAAGATTTATATACTAATTTTAAAATAACCAATGCGATTCTCTTAATTGACTGTGTAGTTGAAAATCCTTTCTAATGTTCAGTACTTCCTTGTAAATTTAACAGGGAGTCGAGCCGTTCTCAGGGAACCTCTGTTGAAAATTGACAAATCATTAAGTACTTGAATGTAGACAATTTGCACCTGCCGTGCAATTTGACCGAATATCACGTGTGCCACTATGCTTTAATTAGCTAAAACTGTACATTTTTTGCTGTTCTGCAAACTTGCATAATGCTGTATAATATAATTCAAAATGCACATTGTAGGAACATATTGCATAATAGGTCAGATCTAAATATTTCAAAGAAGTTTTTTCATTCAAAGATACACCTTTTTGCATCCGTTCTAATGCATAATTGAACAGTTTATCTTTCCAGAAATTTAAACTACCAAAACTAAAAGATCGGTCAATATTTCAAACGACCTAGAATAGAAATGTCATCTGACCTAAGTTTTAATAATTTGCGCAATCTTTTCTTCAGACTGCGGCGCTTATGGAACTACTTTCCAGTACTATCCGGATAGTGCACTGCCTATGGATGACGTTCGCACTATATATGACGTCACAGAATACGTTTGTGCTGAAGAATGCATGAATGAAACGGACTTTATATGCCGTTCCTTCGATTACATTACAGTAGCCAGTAGGTGCCATTTATCGGATAAAACAGCGAGTTCGACTGAAATCGCCGTTGGCTCTAATTACCGCCAACGAGATTGCTATGTACCTCCATAAAAATATTCCGTTTTGCTCTGTTTAAGATAATCAACATTTTTTTTGATTACATGGTAGATTTTCAATTATTATCATCAGTTTTATTAATTAAGGAAATGTATCTCGACACAATATCGTTCACAATAACTGTTCAAGATTATACTGCTCATTTTTGGCTGTCAAGTTGAGCAGAATAAGTTAATATCTTTAAAGATTGACTATCATAATGGAGGGTTAGTGTACATTTTGTGTGCATTAACCGCTGCAGAAACACGGGTATGTATTTAAAGTCTTAGTCCGCAAGTCATCAGATTTATTTAGAAAATTATCATTTAAAGACAAAGGCCTGGAAAATTACGAAGTATGGCAAAATTTTAACCCATTACGTCATATACACGCCTTTTTTAACGCCCTTTTTACCCCCCCCCCTTTTTGTTGTCTCAAATGGTGAAAAAATACCTTATCTAGGCCCCAACACTTGTTTTTGTTTGAGAAATGTTGTTAAAAAAGTGACCTCTTTTTCGGTGCGCCCCCCAACCAATAGATAAATCAGGGTGTTGCCAGACGGGGGATGTGCCCCCTTCTGTTTGGGGGTTTGAAAGGGGACGGAGTCCCCCTCATCGCCAAGAAAATTTTGGACTTGTAAGAGGCTATAAATGACCCCAGATTGATCGTAAGGTAACGTATAACCAACGCTGAAAAGCATTTGACTCTATCTCAATCCATTGAGAAGTTGCAGCACTTTGAAATCAATTTTGATGGAAAAATCAACGCAAAATAGTGATTTTTGGCAATTTTGAGATGTCCCCTCGTTGCCATGGTAACAGAAAATTTAAGCCTGAGCATGTTGTTGCAAGGGCAATGGTCCAGTCAACATTTGTGCCAAGTTTGATTAGTGTTGAAGCAGTTTTAATAGTATAATAGCAATTTGAACTTGTAACGGGAGACTTTTCAATGAAAACAACCATTTTTCACAAAAGGCTCTTGAAGAAATGGGTTAATGAAAAAAATAAAAAAATCTACAAAGCAACATTTTTTCTTCAAATTTATATGACTGACCATGTTTTAACATGAAAAAAAAAACGCGATTAAGGGTAATTTCAAGTATTTTCATCATTTTCTGTTAAGAAAAAAGGCATAGTGGTGTAGTGTTAAATACTGTCTGACTACGAGTTGAAGCTATCAAATTAGGAAACGATGTTTTTATCTACAAATCCATTTCATCACCTAAACATTTCATACATGAAGTAAAGAGGCATACATGTTTAGATTGAGTTTAAGTGCTTCATAAACAACTAACAAACATAAAAAATATGTTTAATGACTGAATCACGTTTTTTTTTCATTTCAGTTAGAGTGTAGGTATAGTGGTGTAGGAGAAACATTTTGTATGAATGATAACATTTCAGAATTCAGTCAGTGGCGTTAACCATACTTTAAATGGTTTCCCTTTTGTTAAAAATATTCTTAATATCAGTAATATCGAGTAAGCATTGTTGTTCATATTGCCCTGGTTGTTATATTCTTCATATAATTTCTTACGAGTCTAAAGCAAAAGGGTGAAAACATGGTTGTTATTATAATATTATGACGACAACTGTACCAGACTCTTTTTTGCGACATGTCTGATAAGCGATGTAAAGCTGAGTAGGTTGAATATAAACTTTTTTATGATAATCTTTATATTGATCTTTATTGATTTACTAATTTTTTAAAGACCAATTTCTTCACTCTTTTTGCTTATTTAGTTTAAAATTTACAGAAATACGAAAAACCTAAATCAAAGTCTGAGACATGATTACCGGTACATACACATTCTGTTGGTTTAAACTCTAAAAGTGGCTTGTTAACTATTAATACCAGTTCACCTTTAAGACCATCTTTGATTCAGTCCCGTCTGTGGTCTTAATATAGAGAATTTACTGTATTTCAATCGAATTTATTTCTTTCCTCGGCAGGAATAAAACAAACACAGAGAAAGACAAATTGTATTTTCAAATTTTATTTTGTTTTCAATACACTCATGTTTCGAACAAGATCAGCAACGATAAATGGTTAAAATTAATCTAGAAAAGTTTATTAAAGAAATTCGTCAATCATGTTTATGTTTAACAACATTTAATCATATGAGTTTGTTATTTACCATTCCCTGAGTTTGCACTTTTAAAAAATATTTCTTTTCAATTCAATCCATGTTCGTTAATAAATTATGGAAATGAATCAATGCATTATGTTTTGTTCGTTTTGTTTTCATATGAACTATTTCACTTTGTAATTTTTCAGATACTATAATAAACAGAAGCGTGAAAATAAGTGTCTTTAATAGTAAGATAAGTAGTTACAGTTTTAACCTCCTTTCACGTAAGCTGGTGCAGAATATTGTTTTGACGGTGCTTTGACGGCATATTTTGAGCTTCTTGGGGCAGCATAATATACCGGTGCGGATACATATGGGTATCGAACATATTGTACACGACCTGGGGGACCTTGAGGTCCACGAGCACCAGGTGCGCCCTGATATCCACGTGGTCCTTTAGCACCAGGAACTCCGGATGGTCCGGGCGGTCCTCGTTCACCATCTGGACCTCTACGACCTCTTTCTCCTGCTACACCACGTCTACCTGGTGCACCTGCTAGGCCTGGTTGACCTGGGAAACCTGGTGGGCCTTCAATACCGTTGTCCCCTACCTCGCCAGTTTGTCCAGGGAATCCTTGTGGTCCTTCGTCTCCAACTTCACCTGGTGCCCCGACTTGTCCATCCTCACCATCAACTCCAGCTTCACCTTCATCTCCCTCTTCACCGGTTAAACCTAGTACATATATACACATATTAATTGATTAATTAATTAATTATTAATAAATAAAATAATTGATTGATTGATTAATTAAGTTATAAATAAATAAATAAATTAATAAATTAATAAATAAAGAAATTAATTAATTTATTAATTTATTTATCTATATAAAATCAGAACAAAAAAGGTCGATTTTTCTCTTGAAAATTTTAATTGTATCTATTAGTTTGTATGCAATGACCAGAAATGACATAAGGATAGGAAATGCCCACGAGTACCGGTATGTATGCATGTCATTAAATTATGCGATACAAAACTTATTGAAATGAATATCGTACCGTGTTTATCGTTGGCTTTTTTATCGGGATTATCAAAAATGATTGTTACAGTTATTGACTGATTTATTGGTTAATAAATTGAATCATTTGTTTTTTAGTCACAGCGGCATTATATATGTACAGGTCATTTGGCGACCTTCCAGCTTTACTAGCGGAAAAATCCATTAGGTATCCCTTCCCTTCCTTATTTTAGGTACAAATGGATATATGAGTAGAACGACAAACATTCCAGAAGCTAGCTGGGTAGCTTCCTCAAGTAAAAATTTAAATATTCGGACGGGGTTCGTACACACAACGGTGTGGCGGGAATGGTTATATTTCAATGTTCTTTACCGCTAAGGAAAGGTGTAAAAAATGGTATATGAGCTTGATTTCGTAGAAAGCACATTTATTTTAAGGAGATAGTATAGTATCATTTAAATCACTTAAACAATTGAAAACATGACCAACAGTGAACAAATTTTGACCTTTTTGATAAGCAGCGAAATGTTTTGAAAAATTGACAGTCCTTGTCGCAAATTGACAATAGAGTGAAATATCATATGTACAATCAGGAAGGCATCTCAATTATGTTGATCATGAAATCATTATTGTGTAAAAAGTGTTTCTTTCAAAGTAGATTTCTCCATAATATAAATTCAGAGCGAAATGATCATTTGCAGTGGAAGAAAAAAGGAATCGAATTATTCATAATGCACCCAAGGGCCGCCTCGGTTAGTGTATGAAATGAGTTTAGCTTTTAGATGTCCCCGTTTTTACACTGCCGGTTCTATATCAGTTCATGTTTTGGCGTCAAAATGTCAGGGTATGTGCCTTTACCGGGGGTTTTCGAATCCAGCAGTCAAAGACCGCTGTTCTCCGGGGTTAGGGCTGTTGTTACTATTAAATGGTGCTTTAAAACAACGATTTGTACCTGGGTATCCTGTTGGGCCAGTTTCTCCGGGTGGCCCTTGTACGCCGGCTACGCCCTCCTCGCCTTCCTCTCCCCATGGACCATATGGGCCTGGTGGTCCTCGGACTCCTATTTCGCCCTTTTCACCCTTAGGACCTGGCTCGCCTGGGGCACCGTCTTGGCCTGGAGCTCCTGGGGCACCGGGGGCACCTGAAAATGAATTTGTCATTGTTTATGTTTCGAAATTTACTGATAGATGATTATATGGTGAATACACGACACCTAATAGGATGAAAAATAACAACTCCTAAAATTAAAATGGGCGGTTGTATCACCATGTTGTTTCTTTACGCCATCAAACTCGTAGGCGGGGCGAACGCTGAATTAAAAAGGCACACAGACAAAGAAAAACTGAAAGTACCGGAAAGCAAATGCATGTAAAATGTTTTTTTCAATTTATTATAAGTACGTTAAAACTATATTTTATTTGTATTAATTATTATTTTAAAGAATGTAGATTCGTATGTTTAATTCTTATTCAACTTGGGTGAGATATAAGCCGATTCGTTTATTTATCCTGAAAACGAAGCAAAAAAGTATTTATTTAGCGCAATACACTACATTCAATAGTTAAAAGAAGTGTTTTTGCCACGCATACTCGTTTTCCTTACTGTAACTTCTTTGGTACAGTATGTTTAATTGTTTAATATTGTTTATAGACTTGTTAATCTGATTTTATTATGTACATTCAACTTAGTTTGATACTACACTTTTTGTATTTATTCTATACATATACGAGTATGTGTATTTCGGGTATACATGTCATAGAGCCAAAACATATATCTATACTAATTTCTTTAGTTATCCAGGGACGCCGGTTAAGTTGATCGAGCGTTGAGATATGCCCAAATTGCGCTTAAATCGGCGAACAAAAATTGAATTACTACAATGTTAGAGCTCCAAAAAAATCCAGATAAATCCAAGATTAAAAAAAAAAGAAAATATAATGATTTACGTTATGGTAAAATAAAGTTGAATAAAAATTTTTAGGTATATTTTACCTGGTTGTCCTTTTGGTCCCATCACCACTGGCATAGCGTATAGATAACCACTTCTCTTTTGTCTGCGGACTGAAATTCAAAACGTAACTGTACATTTTGTATCTTGAGAAAACTTTCCAGATAAAAAGTAAGGGCCCAATGCCGTATAGGATCCAAATTTTCTTTCAGTTAAATAAAAATAACAAATATACAAACAAACAGAAAACAAATATCAATCGAGACTAAGAAAGAAAGAGAAAAAGAACGAAAAAAATGAAAGAAAAAATCCTCACATTAGTTTCATCTAGAGTGCGTATACAGGGTGAAGATTCAGATTTAACTCAATGTTGCTTGTATAAAGTTCGAATAAAAAGATAGGTATAGTTTAATAGAAAATATAAATAAAACAAGAATGAACTGTGAATAGAAAATGATGTTCAGTGGTAGTAAACCTGTGTTTAGTTGTTACGTAGTAATGTCTTAGAGGTTTTATGCAGCAATGCTGTCAATATTAAAGTTTCAAAAAAATAAAGCACATGGTCGGAACATTTTCAATTTGAAAATGAGACAGCATACGGTCGAAAAAACAGCTCAAAGAAATGGTAAAGAAGAGCGTTCCAATCAGTCAATGAATATCGATAGCAGTAAAACTATAGTTGATAAGTATATTAATTCTGCAAAAAATGTGTGTCTATCTAACCATGTCTGAATTCAGATATGCATGTTGTTCCAATGCATTAAAAATGAAGTTGTTAAAAAAATATAACACATATGATATTAGGTTTAACATAATTAACAAAAAATAAAAGAGAAGCAGTATTTTGTTTTGTAGTCACAACCCCGTTTCCTATTATGGTACAAGCACAAGTTGGTCCAATAGGCGGACTTAAAGTGTTATCCTAAATTGGGCTTTAAATGAAAAAGTTTAAAATAAAGTTTTAATTTTCATTATAAATTATTATACATATTCCTAATTTTCATAACTTTCTTAAATATAAGACGGCTATTATGGACTAAGAAAATCTGTATTAATTTATTGATGTATAAATATTCCATTTTCGCAAGCACCTTCACAACCATAAATAAAAGGTACGAACAGATTAAAAACATAAATTTTACAACTTCTTCATTTCTAAACTTACAGTCTTCTTTCTCCTCCTCAACAATTCCTTTCATTCTTTCAACTTCTTTTAACCAGTTTTCAACTTCTCTTCGATCACTTAAATAAAAATAAACAAAACCAAAAATGTGATTTTTTTTTAATTTCATGAACTGTTTAAGATATACCCTCTTTCATATTTACAAAATAGACGTCTTATGTTAAATTACTCTCATTTTTGAATTTTTTATTACTTAAATGCTTATATGATAATATGTAAATGCTCATTTTGAAACTTTCTTCAATATATTGATGGTAATATTAAATTATATATCAGCTCATAGGATCATTAAATTCATGTATAAACGTTAAGGTACACTAAGTCTCAGAAATAAAGACGTAATCATCTTTAATAAAAGGCAATCTTAAGTGTTAATTAATGTTTGAAAAGTGTGTAAGGTGCACAAAAAATAGCATTGATTGTAAATTTATTAGTCATAAAAGTAGTAATAAAGGCAAAAATAACATTTAAACTTTAACACTTTTATAATAACTAATTAACTGATAAAACCGGGTCAGCTATATGTCAGCCTTATAAGTACCGATTTTGAAAACTGCAACAGAACACATAAAAAAACAAGAAAAAACACCAAAAAAACAGGGGGATATAGATAAATAAGTTAAGAGATTTGACGCAATAAGTAAAGAGAGTTGACACATAAAAATATAGCATTGTTGGGGCAAAATGAATTTTTATGTGACAGCCTTGATTCGAAATTACTTTTTCGTGCTTTTAATGGTTTCAAGACTATAATGCGTGAACTGTTCCGCTCGTAAATTCTAAAATTCAATTTATAAATTTATTACGTATCATTTTTATTACAATTCACGCTACATAACTTGCCGTAAACTTAATGTAACAAACTTATCATAAACAATTTTGATTATTGCGTGCTTTTTTAATTGCAAAATAACACACCTTGTATCCGAAAATATTAAATTGTCGCCGAAAGTTGGCAAAATGGAGCGTGAGACTTCGGATACGTACATAAAGATTACAGGGAACAATTTCTGCCTATAAATAATACTCGTTCAACCGAAACTTATTTCTTCATATCAGGGTACACTGTTTTGCACAATACTTAGTGGCAACGGATTAAAATCTTGGGAGAACAATAAGTACAAATACTGATTTTTCTACGCTTTTCAAAGCACCTTTGCTATTTGGACAACAGATATTGCTATCTAATGATTGTAACGCGTATGAATATCTCTAAGAAAAATGTCCCTTATATCATCAATTTCAAAGAAAAGGTTAGCATTCTGTTTAAAACTCAATCAATAAAATAACAAACCTTTCCAGCTGTCTCCTTATATCTTCAAATCTGGAATTGAATTCGGCAAAAGCCACAGTGGCAAAAAGAGCCAAGAGTAAGATACGGCCTAACATCCTGTTTACAAAATGTTACTGCCTCGTCCGGTTACACATAAAGAAGTATCGACCGCGGAAACTTACTGTAAAGTTTTATTTTCTTGATGTCTGGGAATCTTGTTACGCTCATTTGCCTGATAGAGCCGTGCCAAACATTGATAATTCGAGGCCCGTAAATAGGGTGCTTGGTTTTCTCAAACTTTAGAAAAACTAACGACTTTTCACCAGCTTGTTAAGTATGGACGTATTCCCTGTACCTTAAAATTTTCTTGCTTAGAGTAATTGCCTTTAAATGTTCTTTGACCCCTATTTTCAGTTCAAATTGTAATTTTTATAAACTAGGAATATCTTCAGAGAATCATAGGGTACATAACCTTCGTTATTTCCAGGGAATGCCAAGGAACATTAATCATTTAAGCTTCGGATTTGAAATATTATTAATTGAAAGTGCAAAACTGGTATTTAAAATTACACACTTGAAAGAAGAAAGCAAAACGATGGTATATCTATTTCATATGCACAATAAAGTGTATCTTTACAAGTGAAACTGATAATATGTATCATTGCTTTATTAGTCATAAATAATGAAAATTGACGCATTATGGCGACAAGTAGCGTTTTCAACCTTATACCTTCGTTACAACGGTGAAACAATTTATTTAAAATTTGCGTACTTTATTATATTAGAACCTTAATGTAAGAACCATTCAAATAATCTGTAAAGGTAAATGAATTTTAAAAGAAAAATAATTTTGATATTTTGTGATTTCCGTGCATTATAAGCTACATTCATATTTTCGTTTTTTGACATTTTTTAAATTCGTAACTGACATATATTTCAAACAGGGCCTGAATAAAACACTTTTTGTTTTAGAATGTAAAGTGGCCATCTGCAAAGATAACTTATTTTGTAAGGAAAAAGATACGGTTTACAAAGTAGAACCGTTATCACGGCGCACATGTATAAAATTAACCAATTTCAAAACAGACACAGACGCTTTAGCCAAACATTTAACGCTCAATTTAGAAGCGTATGTTAGTTCTGTTGAAAATTCAGGTGAACAAAACTTTAATGATAGTTTTACTTGTCTTAAATTTTTACAATCATTGATGATTAAAATGGGCGTTTTAATAATCATAACTATTATGATAATGATGCCAATGATAATGATAAATGACGACGACGACGATGATTATGATGATGATGATGAGGAGTTGTAGATGAAAAATGAAGACAGAGACGATATTTGCTTAATCATCAAGATAACAATTTGTGATAATATCACTTTTAGTGACACTATAATAGAGCTAATTTTTCTTTTTTTATTCCGACAAAAATATATTTAATAATAATATGTTTTCATAATTATTTTATATATTTAAGCATATATTTTTATATAACTAATTTCCTTCGTTCATTCGTTCTTTCGTTCATTCATTCATTCATTCATTCATTCATTCATTCATTCATTCATTCATTCATTCATTCATTCATTCATTCATGCATATTCATTCATTCATTCATTCATTCTTTCATTCATGCATATTCATTCATTCATTCATTCACACATTCACTCATTCATTCTTTAGATGAGAGAGTTAAACATATTTAATTACTATAACTTAAATTCTATGATTATTACACATATTAATAAACCACGAAAACATTAATTCTCGACGTTGTAAGCATGTTTGAGATACATTGCCATATACATTGTTATAGCAGATAATACAATGCTGTAGAACAAAATATTTATTTTGTTATAAAATAAATGTATAAATAATAAATCACATTCAACTTTTTATAGACTTGTTTTCTAGCAATATGCTAAGAAATTCTAATAAAAATATGCGAAAGGTAGACCAATTCACTTTAATAAAGCTGTGGAAGATTTAAATTCAATAACCTTGTTTTTCAATAATCAACAATACAATTTAAATTCAGAGTTAATTAAGTGCAATTTATTTTTTGATGTTTAAAGGTGACTACTAATATTTGAATTTTAATAATCTGGAACATGGAAGTTATAGAAACAGATTATTAAATAAATTACAAAACAACATAATTTTATTTTTCAAAACATTTCCTCGGTGTCCGGAGCACCTAACAGTAACTTTACTTATCCTTGCTTAGAATCAAGTTTCTGTTCTAAAAACCTTTGAATTTTATAAAACTGCTTAGCTGGCTAAATTTACTGCCAGCATTTTATTAGGATCTTCATCCTTTTCAGTCCTACGCATTCACACCAGACCTTCAAGTGCTTTTTGTTGTTTCTTTTATTTGTTTTTGATTCACAAAATAAATAAATAAATAAATAAATAAATATATAAATGAATGAATGAATGAACGACGGACGGACGGACGAACGAATGACTAAATAACTAAATACGTGTAACTAAATAAATAAATAGATAAATGTACATATGCATAGCAGAGTCTTTCAATCCAATAGATGCTTTTAATTTTGTATATTTCTAAAATAGAGAAAAATAAGAATCCCTAAAGAAAGCCCAACACGGCATAATTGAAAATGTTGCAGGCTCGGTTTGATTGAGCCTGTTCATGGACGGTACTGTTAAGTGCAAACTACCGTCCACGCCCCCGCAGCACCGGCTGAAGCAGAATTCAACATTTACTATGAACTGGTACAATTTTGAATTTTGAAACATCCGCAGATGTATTTATATGGCGATTATCATGGAACCTTCAATGTGACACGTAAGTGCCATTCCACGAAAAGCGGCATATGGTCCCCGAGTAAAAAAATGCGTTCTTCATTCAAGTAAATGATCATTAGTGTTTGAAATTATTTTTGTCAAATAGTAATGCAATATTTCAGATGAGACGTTACAAATTTACTTTGGTAAATCTGCTAAAAAATTTAATCAGTCTATTCATAAAAAATATTTTCCAGCACTAAATTGGCAGCGCCGTTCTTGACTTATTTGATGTTGTAAAATGCTTGCTTATAAACACAACACTTTACTAATAAACTGATAGATAATGTGGTGCCCGTAGTAAATAACAATAAGAATCTTAAAAGAAGATACTCGGTCGAAATAAAAAAAAAATATATTAAGAAATTTGACTACGATAGACGAGGTATGTATGAATTTTTAGAATTATTAAATAGTGATAATAAGATTATTTTACGTAACCTTGCTTGTTATATATACGAGAAGCATTGGCTATGAGAATATCAGTTACACATCGTTGAATGCACGTGTTACATAGCGTAGATAAATAAGTATTGATTGCAAACTTTAAATATAGATTACATTTTGTTTTACTAACATTTTGATATGATTTGTGTTAATGGAATTATAAATAAAGCAATACAAACATATGCTTTGCTAACATTTGACTATGATATTATTATGTAACGTGACTTATAGTTAAATATATTTGATTGATAGTATTGTGAAAGACGATGTATTTTGTACAAGTCTGAAAATAAAGTTTCTGTTCTGTTCTGTTTTGTTAAACTTGTTAACTTGCATAATTATTTTAGCTCCTAGTTTTCCATGCAAAGTCAATATTAAATATAGAAATATTAGCACAGCTTGCATAACAATGAGATAATAATTTATTGTAGGGTTATTAATCTTGAAAAATGGAACACTTTAAGATGTATGTGTTTCTAAACGACATTGTCGTGTTTCGGTAAGTGAAATCAATTTTTAATTCCAACATCTTTGCAGTCGGTAGGCAAATAATTTTATAAATGCTTAATTAATTTGCAAAAATATATGAAAATTATAACATTTTATCATGGCATTACATTGATTTCTGTCGATAAAGTGCATGCAAGCGTGATTAATTATAAATTTAGCTTTGCCAGTCCGTCCAGCTTTATCAGACATCTCATCAATATATATGAGCCGCGTCACGACAAAACCAACGAAATGCGTTTGCGACCAGCATGGATTCAGACCAGCCTGCGCATCCGCGCAGTCTGATCAGGATTCATGCTGTTCGCTATCAGTTTCTCTACTTGTAATAGGGTTTGTAAGCGAACAGCATGGATCGTGATCAGACTGCGCGGATGCGCACGCTTGTCTGGATCCATGCTGGTCGCAAACCCATTATGTTGGTTTTGTCGTGACGTGGCTCATATATTGAAATAAAATGAAGTGGATTATTCTACCTCTTACTGGTTTGAAAATATTAAACTGATAAACTTTGCATTGAAACCATTGGCATAATACTGCGCTAGACATGTACTCGAAAGATTGTTGACAGGTTTTTGTTTCATTTATTTATTAATATTTAGAAATGAGAGAATTAATACACACATATATAAACAAATAAAGAATCAAACGAAACCTATCATTAATCGTTTGATGAAAAAATTAATGACGAGACACAGGTTTAATTATCTTAACTTTGTTAACTTGGAATCATCATTGTAGTAAATTCCAAGATTATCAAACAAGCAAGAGCAATAAATCTTAACGCTCAAAACCCTGACTTCATTTTATTGACACTTTTTTTTGTTGCTTTTTAATTGATATTTTCGTTTGAAAAAATTTAATGCGGCAAGATCATAGTTATGTGACCTTTCTTTAATAAATCGGCCTGGCTTGAAGGACATAAAATATATAAAATGAGGGACAAATTGATATAAAATGTTAAAGACCACCAGAGGCGATGATATTTCCAGCCCATTTAACTTGTAATAAATTTATATAATAAATAAAACTTACACCATTACACTGAGATTTAAACCTTAATTTTGTAAAGACTAATTTGATATTTGTTTTCTAATTTACAGTTTGTGAAATGATTGTAACTTGTTCGTGCCCATATTATACGAAACTTTTGAATGAATGAATTCATTGGAACGGTTGAAAAACTTTTACTAGCTATAACAACAGTCATGAATCCACTCTTGTTAAAGGAGTTGAATGTAATGTATTGCCAAGAAAAAAAACTGACGACAATAAATTGCATAAGCTTGTCAGTTCGTAGAGAATATTACTTCATTATTACTTTATTTATCATGATTTGATGTATCAATTATTCTATATTTAGAAAAACCAGTGGTAAACTGACATAACATTCCATTTGTGTAAAACGAACTTATATGGCGATGAATTTCATTTT